AAATTCTGTTCCATCATTGACATTAGTGTGTAGCTGGAAGTCTCCAGTTCTGTAGCCCACTGCAAAGTTATTCCTGGTCAGCTTTGATTTGGCACTGTCAAAGGTCATTTGGTACCCAGCAAGCCAGCCCTCATAACCAAAGACAGCTGACCCATGGATTGCAGGTCCAGCAAAATCAAAGTCAACATCACAACCAAGGTTTATACACTCCCTCTTGTAAGAAGACTTCATTTTACCACTTTTCTTTCCTGTGTTTGGTGAAAAGGTGGTATCAAATGTCAGCTTCAAACCTTGACAAATCTGGTCTTCAATTGCGATTTCTGTTCCCAGAGTGTTATCAGTGTTCCATTTCTCTGTGAAAGTCAGGCCATACTCACACCATTTATATTTGGTCTCCAAGGTCCCAGTAACTTTACCAGTGTCTGTATTAGATGAACCTGATGTTGAGAATTCCACACCACTGCATGACTTTGTTTTCACATCCAATTTCACCAACCCCAAACCAAATCCTTTGTTGAAAATACCTCTGGCAGCTTTGCCAAGGTCAGCATATGATGGAGGAGTACACATTGGCTGCGCGCAGCTCTGTTCGTAAGTAGCCATAGCGAGGCCGCGGAAAGAGGTGATCTAGTGGTCTCCTGAGGCTGGCCGCCGCCGTCGCCATTCCACTAGAAGCTAAGGCCGCTCAGCTCGCTGTGGGTCGGGCTGCAGCTGCCGGGGCTGGAGGGCTTCATGGATTTTCTTATCTCAAAGAATGTAGCCCCAGAAATCCTATCTGTATTGACTGTCTTCCTGTGCCTTCTGACAAATAATTTTGTATGTTTTGTCTAAGTATTCATTGTTGTTCTCCTTGAAAGTGCTAGTTTAATACCCCATGCTTCATAAATTGGAAACAAGTATTTCTGCTTTCATCCTGGAATTTTACTAATCTAATGCTTACTTAGCACAGTGCAATAAATATTGATGGCTGTTGGAAATCTTTTCCAAGTTCCAACTGTGTTGAACAGATAATGTCAGTCCTTATGTAATAGTTACCACAGACCAGAAAGATTAACTAGTTATAAGCTTTACTTTTGTCTCTGGAATAAATGCAGGTGTTTGGTACATCAGGAAAGATCTCAGAAATCTAGAGTAGAAATGGAGAAATAAAACTAGCCATCAAATCTCTTTTAACTAAACTTTAAATCTCATATATTTTTCTCTACTTCGAATTGTGGTCATTAGAAAGTTTTCTTAGAAATAAGAATTCTTATCACAGTTTTTCATGTTTTGATCTCTAGGAAGATGAAGTCCACGGTACATTCTGAGGAGGATGATTTTGTTCCAGAACTACACAGAAACGTTCACCCTCGAGAGCGGCCTGATTGGGAAGAAACACTTAGTGCAATGGTAAATCAATTTTATATATATATATATATATATATATATTTATATATATATATTTTTGTTGTTGTTGTTGTTTTTTTTTGTTTTTTACTTAAGTAAGGTAAAGGAACTGAGGAAGCATTACTTACAGGAAAAAATTTTTGTTGTTGTTGTTGCTTTGTTCATTCATTTAGAAAGTATCTGTTAATCTATTCAGGCAGTGTTTTAGACTTTGTGTGCAGCACCCTGAATAAAACAGAAATTTGTGGAACTTATATTTTAATGGGATAGGAGAAAAAGCAATTAATTACATACTTAATATGTTAAGTGGTGGTATGTGCTTTTATAGAAAATTAATGCAGAGTAGTAGGTTACAGAATGGTAGGGATAGAGTATTGAAGGGATAGTTGCTAGTTATATAGGGTGATCACAAAGAGCCGCTGAGAGAAGGTGAGATTTGAGCAGACATCTGAAGGATATGAGGAAGTGAGTAATGTGTTTATCTGTGTAAAGGTCATTTTGGGTAATGGAAGAACAAGTTAAAGACTTTGCATAGGATTAAAAAGTGTTAGAAAAAAACACGAAAAGTAGGACTTATGGCTTAAATTGAGCCGGGAGAAAGAAGAAGATGAGGTCAGAGAAGTAGTTTGGGGGTGTGGAGAGCAGATCATATATTTCTTGTAGTCCATTATAAGGACTTTGGTTTTTTTATGTTGAGTGAGATGAGGAACCATTGGTGGATTTTTGGCTGAGAAGTGACATGATCTGGCTTAAAATTTTAAAGGGAGTCTCTGGTTGCTGTCAGTAGGCTAAAGGGGAAGGTAAAAGGAAATAAGGAGACCAGTTAGAAGATTACTATAATAGGGTACAGTGATGGTAGTTTGAATCAGGATGGTAGATTTGGTGAAAAATGATTATAGACTTTGGGTATAGTTTTACAGATAAAGCCAACCATTTTTGCTGATAAAGGGGATACAGAGAGTGAAATAAAGAGATCTCAAAGATGAGTTTAAATTTTTTGCCTTGATCAACCTGAAGAATGGAGTTTACATTCACTGAAATGCTGGAAATCAGTTTTTGTTGAGTGTTAGGTGGAAAAATACTATGCAGTGTAGTTTTCCACATAAGTTGGAAATACCCATTTAATCTAATATAGTTTTTTGTATTCACGCCTTTTAATAAGAACAGTAAAATCCTTTTTTGGAGAGTAACACTTTATTTAAATTGTAGTTAAAAGTTAGTATTTCTTTTCATCAAAATTGAATGCAAATTGTTCATCTGTCAATACTGATCTGTAATGAGATTTTATGTATTTCATTTTTGAAACTGCCTTTTCATCCAGATATGTACTGTCAAATACATCACTTTGTGGGCATATAATTTTAGTTGGATATATTCATCACTTAGAAGGCATTTACAGAATTCTCTTAGATTCATCTTTTAATATTTGCCTTTTAGCATAACAGTACATGTCAGACGTCCAATTGAAGGTTAGGTAGAAGCTTCTCAGTTGCATAGTTAAATGAATTTTGCAATAGTTAAATGAATTTTGAAATTAACTTGCATTTGTAAGATGGTCTGAAAAAACCTTTTGGAACTGTAGTTTGAGCTTGGGAAATACATTCACTGCAAATTTATGTGGTGATGGAGATCTCTGATCTTGCATTAATGTTTGATATTTGGGAAGTATGTATTGCAGCTCATGATTACTTGCGATTCTATTTAATACCACAGTGTAAGTTTCTCCTATAAGCTATGGTTTGCCTTTTAATTTTAGGTAAAACTTATTAAGAAATAACATAAAATCTGCAGCAGAAATTAATTACAAAAGCCATTTAGTGTTCAGTAACAGAGGTTGAAAGTATATCCAGTTATGCCTTTTCTGTTCCACACATTTTTTACCAAAAGTTATACTGTGTCTTAGTAGATTCTACTTCAGGTTGTACTGAATGAATGTTTGCTGAGTTTATTTGAGAATATTGTCACCTATAGTTGTCCCATGTAGACTGTTCCTAGGGGCTAATTCTTGAGCCACTTTAAAGTCAGCATTGACTCCTTAACAACAACTGAGCAATGTTGGTTACATTTGTTGACTTATCAAGAGTCAAGGAAAACCACTTGGAATCATTTGCCTTGTTTTTAAATTTACTATTGATTTTACTCCCAATAACCTCAACTCTTCAAGCAACTGTTCTCACTGAAAAGGCTAATAGGCTTACACAGTTTGTTTTCTCTGGATGTATTTCTTGGCTGCTATAGTCAAACATGATTTAATTGACCCACCTTTGGTAAATGGTAAATGGCTTTTCTTGCTTGGATACCAAATGAGTTACCTGGAAATTTACTTTGGATATAATCTTGTTTCTATTTTTGTGATGAAATTCTGTGTCACTTAGAATTTTTGAATTTTTCAGATTGTTGCTTTCCTGTGAATTGAGAATATTTTGATGAATGCAGAGTTTGGTAATATTGATGTATATTCTATTCTTTTAGCACAGCTGTAGTGTCATTGAATAATAAACAATGTTTTGCCATCCAATTTGATAACAAAACCCACACTTTACTGTGCTTTAAAAGCATGACATTCAAAGTCCACTTTTCTCTTTGCTTATTTTTACATGACCTGTACGAATTGGTAATTTAAAAATAGTAGTTTTGGTGATACATGTGGAACTTGAAATGCTGTTGAGTTAATAACTCAATACTGCAATTTTTTTTTTTTTTTTTGCTGTGCTGAACAGCAGTGTGAATTGATGAGAGTGAGTGCCACATAAGGTCTCTTTCGCAGCTACTCAGCTTTGTCATTGTAACGTGAGAGCACTCATGGGTAATACATAAATGAATGTGACTGTGTTCCAATAAAATGTTATTTGTGGACGTTGATATTTGAATTTCATGTAACTTTTACATGTAATTAAATAATCATTCTTTTGATCCCCCTCCCCCATACATTTAAAAATGTAAAAATTAATTTTAGCTCATGGGCTGTAAAAAAACAGATAGTGGGCTGAGTTGGCACTAGGTTCTTTTTTTTTTTTAAGATTTTATTGGGGAATTGGGGGAGGGGAACAGCACTGGGGAATCGGGGAAGGGGAACAGACAAGTTGCTGTCCTTTTATTCTTCAGTCTAGTTGTGGAGGACGTTGCTTCACTGGCCCATGTTGGTATCATCGTTGTGCTCTTACAGGTGAGGCAGATCAGTTGTCGGCCTCTGGACAGTCGCTCATGGCGGCTCTTGGCAGCTCACGCTGGCTGCTGGCTGCTCAAGCTGACTGCCAGTCACACATGGTAGCTTACGGAAGCTCACTGCAGCTTCACTGCAGCCTACGCCATTGCTGGCGACTCATGGCAGCCCAGCTCCAGGTTGAGCTGTTGTTCATCATCTTAGCGGTAGAGGGCGCAGCGTCACTGGTCCTCATGTGGGATATGGACCGGGGCCCTGCTGCTCAGAGCCAGCGTCCCAAAGTCAGCTCTTAACCAACACGCCACTCGGCTGGCCCTTGGCTCTAGTTTCTTGACCCCTGCCTTGTCATATGATTATAATTCAAGATGTAAGACTTTCTTAAACCTTCCAGATAGAAAATCATTTTATTTGTCATAGAATGTTGTTCATCTCTATTGTAATACTTAATCTCATTGTAATTAGTTATGAATGTATTTATGTTTCTTACTATATTGTGAGCTCTCTGAGGAAAGATAGGGATCATCTTCTGTTCATTTTATTGAAGGGTAAAGTTTAAAAAAGGATATAATCATACAAATATAAAATGAACACACACCAAAGGTATTTAACTCATTAATTAATGAAGGAATCAGTTAAGTGTTACAGTGGGTTCAGAGGAGAATTCAAAGAGCCTTATTGTTACAGGTCAGTCATGCTATTGATGCAGATGAATGCAAAACTAGCAAAATTGTTTAGTTCCACTAGAAACAATTTGCATTTCTGTGGACGAGAATTATTTCTACTGTCAGTTTTCTACAAGTTAACTTTTACTCTGCGGAGATGTAAAATAGCCTAGGCAAAGACAAGCAAGTCCCATGCTCCTGTTGAATCACGTAATCCCTGGGGGTGCCAGTATTCCATTGAAAGGATATTTAGTAATCTCTTTTGCCCATTATTAAACCTTCTACAATTTTTATAATCTCCAAAAAACTCTACATTGAATTTATTGAATGGGAAGAAAGGTGGTAATTGTTGTTAAGTTGTTAAATGCTATAATTCTATTTTAAAAAATCATCACATTCAATAAATAGTCCTTTGCTAGGTTGCAAAAATGAAAAGACTATAAATGAGGTAAGAAGTATTATTTTACTACACTTGCTCTAGAAAATCACATTGATTTTAATGAAGTAAGAGTAAAGAAAGTTTGGGACCTTTTTCTTTTCCAATAATAAAGTGAAATACCACGTTGAGAATGAAATTTGTTGAGGAAAACCCTTATAGATGTGGAGTATAGTGTGGGAGTGGAGTCAAGGGAATTACAATAGATATGTATGATGCTGGGTAGAGGGGGAGTGGGGCGGCGGATTGAGGGAGGGGGATGGTCACTTTGAGGGGTAAAAAGTATAACTATTGCACTGTGTTGTACAGCTGAAACTAATTTAAAAAAATGTATTTCACAATAAAAAAGAAAAGAAAAAAAGAGAAACCCTTATAAAATATTACTTTTTAAAAAAAATTTGCATTTTGAATTACTATTGACATACAATATTATATTCATTTCGAGTATACAACATGGCGATTAGACATTTATATAACTTAAAAAAAAATCCACTCCTAAAAATCTGGCACCCGTCTGACACTATACATAGTTATTACCATGTTATTGAGTATATTCCTTATGCTATACTTTACATCCCAACGACTATCTTGTAATACCAATTTGTACTTCTTATTTCCTTCCCTCTTTTCACTCAGCACGCCAACCCCCCTCGCATCTGGCAACCATCAAAATGTTCTCTGTATCTATAAGTTTGTTTATGTTTTGTTTGATCATTTATTTTGTTTTTTAGATTCCACATAT